GTGTCACTGAGTTCATGAAACCTTCCCTGACCCCTTATCTTAATTATGGGTTCCTTCCTTTCTATGCCTCTTTGTATCATGGAACATCCTTTTCTGTGTGGCTTGTGGTACCAAAACAAAACTTTTAATTAAATGTGACCTTTCAAAAGTCAGAGGTTATATCTAAAAATCCAGATTTCGGGGATCCCTGGGTGGCTCAGCAGTTTAGCGCCTGCCTTTGGCCCAGGGCGCGATCCTGGAGTCCCGGGATCGAGTCCCACATCAGGCTCCCTGCAGGGAGCCTGCTTCTCCCTCTGCCTGTGTCTCTGCCCCTCTGTCTCTGTGTCTCTCATGGATGAATAAATAAAATCTTAAATAAATAAATAAATAAATAAACAAACAAACAAATATCCAGATCTCTGACTACTCCTGAAAATAACAACAGGACACTGTTACCAGGTGGGCATGGGGGTGAGCAGTAGGCACCGCATTACGGACCCCTTCCCAGTCCCCATTTGAGGCGGCGACTACTGGTTAGTTTCCCGTTTCTCTGTCTCTCACACCTAGGAAACTCCAAGTTTCTTGAGAGTAATGACTTGCGTCTCTTCATCCCTCCATTCTGACTGGTATATATTCAACTATTTTCTGAATTTACTCAATTAATAGTCAACAAAAGAGGAAAAATGCTAACGACGATCCATCATGAACGCTGCTCTGTAAGCTTTAGCGGCTGGTAGCACTGCTTCTTTACTATGCTTAAATTCACTTCCAAGTTCTACATCCTTCTCACACCTCAGTTACAAGTAGGCTGTTTTTGACAGTTGGAAAAATGAAAAGCGGAGACGTGGAAAAGGAAGACGTCATGTGCTTTGAGGGCCCTCCCCTGTGCCAGGCACTGTACTAGGCTTGGTAATTAAGGGGGGGGGGGAGAGGGATACCCAGTAGCTAGAGGCACTGGGCACATCCCAATGGACAGGTAGGACTAGCATTCTAGAACAGCCAGGGAGCTTCTGCAACAAGCAGAAACCATACAGAGCTGCCCGGCCAGAGTAGTTACCGGCTACTTTGTGTAGACTTTGTAGGACACTTAACAGCATTCTTGCAAGGGGTGAACTGATGCCAGGAATGAGTCTGTACTAGAGTCCTTGACCATCCCCATCCACAACCGAGGGCCTCTTCTCTTTTAAATAAATTCCATTACACCTGCTGTTGGGAAGACTGACTAGATAGCTATGTTGTCCTATTTCTTTGGAGGAAAAAGATAAGAAATGTGTCATATAATCTCATCAAAACAGAAAAAGGAAAATGTGAAATCAAAAACAGTTTTCATTTAAGAGTATAAGCAGCTTTTTAAAAAGAGTATAATCAGCTTTAATTAAAAAAAAATAAATAAACCAAATAATTTCGCCTAAAGGTACTCTGTTGCTTGAGACGCTGTACTGAAAAACCTTTTTTAAAATTAAATTTTTTATTTAAGATAATTGTAGGTTCACATATAATTGGAAGATACAATACAGAAAAATCTCTTGTGCCATATCCCCAGTTTTCCTCGGTGGTAACGTCCTGCAACACCAGAAGACAGTATCACAATCAGATATTGAAACAGTCAAGATAGAAAACATTTCCATCACCACAAAAATCCCTCATGCTGCTGTATCCTAACCGTATCAATTCCCTCCTGTTCCCTTCCCTTCCTCCCTCCCTTCTTTAAACTCCTGGCAACCACTAATCTGTTCTCCATGTTTTGTCTTTTTTAATCATTTCAATAACATCATGTAAATAAATTTATCCAATATGTAACCTTTGGGATTGGCTGTCTGCACCCCAGATAATTCCATAGGGATTCATTCTGCTACAAAACCTTTAATTAGTGTAGATCATAAAATAGAATTACAACCGAGTAAAGTAAACCAAGACCCTGGGTCCACTGAAGCAAATGGCTCAAGGAAATTAAATTTCACTGTGCTCTGTTATCTCTAAGTATTTTCCTGGCACAGTAAAGACATAAAGACATGCTTACCAAATTGTTTCACCACCAAGTCCATTTTACACACAGGAATTATAAACCTTTATGCTTATATGCCCATGAAGGCTTGTGAAGCTGGTCTCCAAAAAAACATGACTCATTAAATGAGACCAAAAATCATCATTACTAATCACGTATTAATAACTAATAATCACATCATGCATAATTTTCAATGCACTTGCTGTGTTTCCCTACCTAAACTAAATCTTTGCTCATACCACAAAAAAAAAGCCTCCTTGGAATTGCTGCTATTTGAAACTGCACACCCATGGTGAGTTGTTTTCTCTTTTTTTTTTTAAGATTGTATTTATTTATTTGAGAGAGGGAGAGAAGAGCATGAGCGAGCGTGCATGATGAGATCAGGAAGAGCGGGGAGGAGAGGGAGCCGGAGAAGCAGATGCTGCGCAGGGAGCCTGGCAGAGATCACGGGACCCTGAGATCATGACTAAGCCACCCGGGCACCCCCTCATGTAGGGTTTTAACCACTGCAAAGAAAGAAACATGTCTTAAAAACCACAAATTGATTTGTTTGTTCTTCACATTTTTCCTTCAACACATTGAGGACACTGTTCATAACTCGCTTCTACTATCTGCCAAACTTGGCAAGAAAAAAAAAATCTCATCACTGAATGATTATTTGAAAAAGAGAAGCAAAATTCTGACCCAACAGGCTAACTTTCTTTTACTCTTTACCATTTTAAGACAGAAACCAAGGAGGCTCATCTCACATTAGCAAGCCTGTAACACGGAGACCAAGCCACAAACCATGAAAGGATCTGCAACCTGTTGCCATGTTTATAAAACACAGGCCTACAATTCATAGATCTTTTAACCAGATCCACAGCACCCTGTCCTGGTGACACAATTAGTTAAGTAAATCAAAGTAAATCAAAACTCAATTGTCACTAGACAAAAGCTCTCTGGATGAAGCACAGACTCTGTAAAATTTCATATATATACAAACATATGTATGTGTATGTATATATATATGGAGAAAGGGAGAAGGAGGGAGGGAGGAAAAAAAAAAAACCAAACCGCTCAGGCAGTTCTCTCCAATGTTTGCATAAGTTAACAAACTGGAAAAAAGTAACAGAATGTCATCCAAACATTTAAGTAATTGCTTGTACAGTAAAATAAATAAATAAATAAATAAATAAGCAGCATGTGAGCTTCAACTTTCTCAGGGACCTCAGCTCACATGCATACACACACCCACACACACACTGATCCAGGACTCACTTCCACATCACCACCCCCAACCACCACTCCTTTCCTGCAGGTTGTTAAGGCCAATACCCATGTCTTGGTTCAGACACTGAAGGTTAGCGGGGGACCATGGTGCACTCTCATGGCTGCGTGCTATTAATTCACGGACACAGGTGTGTGTCCATGGCCCAAAAGAACACTCCTGGAGGGCGGGGACCACATCTCAGTCATCTTTGAGGACCCCACTGGGCCACCACGTGCAAATGGGACCTGCGTCTCAGTCGTCTTTGAGGACCCCACTGGGCCACCACGTGCACATGGGGCCCGCGTCTCAGTCATCTTTGAGGACCCCACTGGGCCACCACGTGCACATGGGGACCGTGTCTCAGTCCTCTTTGAGGACCCCACTGGGCCACCACGTGCACATGGGACCCGTGTCTCAGTCGTCTCTGAGGACCCCACATGCACATGGGACCCACGTCCCAGTCGTCTTTGAGGACCCCACTGGGCCACCACGTGCACATGGGACCCACGTCTCAGTCGTCTTTGAGGACCCCACTGGGCCACCACGTGCACATGGGACCCGTGTCTCAGTCGTCTTTGAGGACCCCACTGGGCCACCACGTGCACATGGGACCCGCGTCTCAGTCGTCTTTGAGGACCCCACTGGGCCACCACGTGCACATGGGACCCGCGTCTCAGTCGTCTTTGAGGACCCCACTGGGCCACCACGTGCACATGGGACCCGCGTCTCAGTCGTCTTTGAGGACCCCACTGGGCCACCACGTGCACATGGGACCCGCGTCTCAGTCGTCTTTGAGGACCCCACTGGGCCACCACGTGCACATGGGACCCGCGTCTCAGTCGTCTTTGAGGACCCCACTGGGCCACCACGTGCACATGGGACCCGCGTCTCAGTCGTCTTTGAGGACCCCACTGGGCCACCACGTGCACATGGGACCCGCGTCTCAGTCGTCTTTGAGGACCCCACTGGGCCACCACGTGCAAATCGGCTGTACCAAATAGACGCTAAAGAAAATACCCTGAAATGTCAAAAAAATAAAATAAAATTAAACCAAAATAAAATAAAAACAGACATACACGTTTTACGTAGAGGCCTACGATCCCGATCGCCACAGGAGGGTTTTCTAGCCCCTAAACATGCAGGGGGCAGGGAATACCGACAGCTCGGCGGCACCTGGCACCCGGCCCCCGGGGCCCACCTCCCACGCGACCCTGCAGACCTTAGGGCCCCTGAGCAACAGGGTCCTGGGCGCCGGAGCGGGCGGGCCAGGCCCCAGGTCGCGGGATCCCCTGCGGGTGCTACCGGGAAAGACCATCCTCGCCCAGAGCGAGGCTCCCGCGGTGCGGCCAGGGAACCACCTGCGGGCGGGAGCAGCGCCGAGGTCGGGGTCGAGGTCAGGGTCAATGTCGGCGTCGGGGTCAAAATCGGGGTCGAGGTCAGGGTTGGGGTCGAGGTCGGGGTCAGGGTCAAAATCGGGGTTGAGGCCGGGGTCGAGTCAGGGTCAAGGTCGGGGTCGAAGGTCGGGGTCCGGGTCAGCAACCTCTGCCCAGGGTCGGGCTGCACGGTCGGTCGGTCGGTCGGTCGGTCCCGGAGCACACGGGGCACACGCTCAGCCCTGGGCCCCATGAGCGCCCCCCAGCGGCCGGCGGGCGCGCGCCTGCCTCGCACTGGACACGTTTTAAGGCCTCCTCGTACGTGGGCCCGTGCAAAAAAACAAAAAACAAAAAATGAGAACTAAGGAAGCCAGGCCGGCCCCGCACTTACTCGCAGCAGCGGCCCGCGGCCGATCACCGTCTCGCCGGGCGCCAGGGCCACCCGGGGGCCGCCGTCGCGCGGCCGCAGCTCGAAGCCCCCGGACATGGCGCCGGCGACCGCCCCCCTGCGCGACCTCACGCGCCCCGCCGCCGTTTCCGCCTTCCATGGACACGCGCGGGCCTCGGCGGGACGCGGGGGGCGGGGGGGGCTCCGCTCGGCCTCGCCCCGCTTCGCCCCTCCCGCCGCCACTTCCGCCTCCAAACTATTTTTTAAAAGCCCGGGTTAACCACCGCCCCCCCCGCCACGCCTCCGCCCCCCGCAGCGCTCTCTCCCCGCCCACCCGCCGCGGAGGATGCCGGGCCTTGTAGTCCGCGCTGTCCTCTGGTGCTGAGCGGGGGCGCCCGGGTTTAAAAAGAAAACTACCACTCCCAAGAGGCAGCGCGCGCTCCTCTCTACGCCTGCGCGGAATTCGAGGCAGCGAGGCGGGGCCGCAGGGGGCGGGGCCGGGGAGGCGATGGCGAAGGATTCGAATTCCGGAGGCTGTAATTCGCCGGAGGAGCCTCGGCGGCCCTGGAGGTAGGAGGGTCTTCCCTTACGGCGGACGCCTGGGTGGCGCGGCGCCCCGCTCAGCCGCCTGGAGCTGCGGGGACAGTCGGTGCCGGCGCTCGCTGTCGTCGCCCCGTGCTCGTCGGAGGCGGGCAGCTGCGGACGGCGGAGACCCTCGGGGGGCGGCTACTGGGGCTGCGGGGTCTTTCCTTCCGACCTGCACGGTGGGGCCGCGCGGAGTGCGGACCCCTCCCCGGCTGCGCCGTCGGCAGGTGGCGGGGGGGCGGGGCGAGGGAAGGGGGCGGGGCGAGTGGTGGGCGTGGTTGGTGGTGCGTGGGCGGGGCTACGAAATGGGCGGGGCGTGGGCGGGGCGAGGGATGGGCGGGGCGAGCTCCTGACCTGCAGAGAGACCTCAGCAAGGTGTGGTTCTTACACCAGAAGGGGGGAAGAGGGATAGGTTCCCAGGCATCCAGGAAAACTGCTCTTGGAAGGAGATGCCCGGCGGGGGTTTAGGAGCCTCCCCGAGGCGTCCACCCCCCCCCCCAAGCTGTTAACTCCAAAGACATTCGTTTGCCTCCTGGAGAAGAACTGTAAGGAGAGGACGCATGTTTATCCCCCCCCCCTCCTTGATTTTCTGGGAGAAGTGACAGGTGTTTAAATGCACGGCCGGGGAGATGTAGACTCTTATTTCTCCACCAAAAGTGTACTTTGGCTTGGTTTGTATTGATGGTTAAGAGAGGTGAGTGAACTGGCAAAAAACTTGCTCTCGACTCATGAATTTGTTTGTCGCTTTGCTTCCTGACTTCCCCAAAACTTCGAGAGGGAGTCCTCTGCTGAACAGAGACAGTAAAATTCTAACCACGGTGGCTAACTCGGATCACAAACAGCCGAATGAATGGGAGCAACTGTGGCCTTGGCAAGTCCGGGAACATAGGTGAGTGGCATGTCTAGAAGGGGGGGTTGTCATTAGCGGAGTTAAATAAAGAAGCATTTAGGGGCACCTGGGTGGCTCCAGGTCATGATCCTGGGGTCCTGGGGTCAAGCCCCTCATTGTGCTCCGCAGGGACTCTCCCCCTCCCTTTGCCACTCCCCCTACTTGTGCGCACTCTCTCTCTCTCTTAAATAAATAAAATCTTTTTTTAAAAAAAAAGTATTTAACAAACCCCTCCTCCTGCACTGCCACATGCCCCCCCATCATAAAAGGAACTGCAATATGGAATAAACTGATTTTAAGTAATATGAGCTGTCTTTATAGGCGAAAATAGCTCCGTGCTTTCAACTGATTTTAGAAGCCTACACCATGCACCTTAGGTAGATTAGCAGAAACTGGACTTTCCATCTTTAATTATATGCTGCACCTAGCTGAATTATAAACATTGTTTATGGTTGCTAGTTACTGTTGCTTCATGGCCTCAAGAACTACTGATCTTATTCATAATTATGCCTGTAGAATAGGCCATTTCCGAAACATTAATCTTATAACTGGATTGAATATTTGAGACTCTGTCATTATAACCTGGACTTCAACCTCTAGTCCATTTCAGATAGTAGTTGTGTCAGCTGTGAACACACCTACCCATTAGATACAAGTAGCTAAATGATGATCGTATAAGCTATAAAAGTCCTCCCGGTTTATGATTAAGTCACAAACTGTAAATGAAGGACTTAATGACAAGGCATCAGTTCCCACAGACGAGTATTTAGAAGTTGAAGATCATTGAATCGTACACGCTTTCCAAGGTATTTTCAGCAAATGCTTGGAATCAAATATATTCCCACAATAATCATTTCTACTACTACAATTTTGGTCTGTGAAGAATCACTTCTCTTTTTTTAGATAATGCTCTTTGGAAGCAGAAAAACAAATGTTAAGAAACAAACCCATTTACTAAAAAACGTTTAAAAAGAAAAAGGGACGTAACAAGTGTTGAGTACCTCCCACGTGCAATTCAGATTGTGAAGCTTGATGCTTTACACATAATCCCTGTTAATCCTTGGAAGGACACCCAAGAGAGGAGCATCCTTGGCCCCATTTTATAGATAGAAAAACTCAAAAAAGTTAAGGTTCTTTAAATCATACCCAGGCAGTATCCGGCTCAGGGTACATTCTGTAGTCTGATCCGAAGAGACTGAACATATTTAAACTTTGCCTTTTAGGTTACATATGAGGATAATTTGCTAAAACATTATGCAGAAAAACTCCAAGAGGAACAATAATTCAAGAGTTTCTGGCCTAGAATTGAATGCTGCGGATGCGGAGAAGGAAAAAAAAGAGGGTCAAAATAACTTTGTTGAACTGCTGCCTCCAGAAGTTACTTTCAAAATTTTCAGTCAGCTGGACATTCGGAGTTTGTGCAGGGCTTCGATAACGTGCAGGAGCTGGAATAACACAGTAAGAGACAGTGACTCCTTATGGAAACCTCATTGCTTGACTCTAAGAGCTGTGTGCCAAAGAGAGATAGACGATGATGTAGAAAGTGGATATTCCTGGAGAGTAAGTGTGGTCTCTGTAGTCTGCAGTGTTCTTGACAATGTGGTGGCAGGTGTGAGCCCACTCTACCTTCTGCACGGAGGAGGTAGGATTTCATATCAGAGTGTTGGCTTTTGGAGTTGACGTTGAATGATTGTTCTTTTCCTACAAGCCACACCATCCCATCCATCCTTTTACATGTTTTGCATTCTAAATTCAGGCATATTCCTCTGTTCACTACTTTAGTCCACCTTATCCAAAACTCACGGCAAACGGGGTGGCTCACTCTGCATATGCACACGTGTACCCACCCACCCACCTACATGCACACACCACAGATTTATTAGTTTGTGTTTATCAGTGTAAATGCTTAATCCTCTTTTCAGCCCTCTCAGTCAGCTTCTCCCATTTTAAACAAACTCACTGACCAGCCCCCTACTACATCCTTTAACGATGATGATTTACCCCTTCTAGGTAATACTGCTGAGGAATACCAGAAGAGTAAAGTGAAACACGAATGGCTAAGTGGCAGATACAGCAACATATGTTCTCCTCTTAGTTTACCAGAAAAAATCATGTACCCAATGGATGCAGATACATGGGGGGAGATTCTAGAAGCAGAACTGGAACGATAAGCCGAAAAATCACAAACAGATCCCGTAACTTTGAGACTTTGAAATTAAAATGACTCTTAGGTTCTTTTTTTTTTTTTTTTTTGGTTTACCTTTTTTATGTTCAACATTTAAAAGAAAACCAAGGAGAAAACTTTTTAAAAGTCAAACTTTGTTTTTATTCTGCACTTTCATAAAAACATTTTTCTGGTTTTATTGTAAGGTGGAAAGATCATGAAATGTTGTGTAAGAAGTACCATACCGATAGAGTGTTTTTAAATGTATTTGTATCAGTACGTTGCAGTAATTAATCACAAGAGGGTTTGATGGGCACTTTCTACTGAATCACAATTCAGGAATTCTGGAAACCGGTTGAAGAAACTGATTAGAGAGATTCATTCAGTAGTAGGTGTAACTGGGCTCAGAATTAGAGATAGATAGCACCAGGAAGACTACCTAAATGAGATTATTCACAGTGTGTTTCAATATACAGGGTATAATACATTTATATTTCAATAACTTTAAAATGTCCATTTCAGTGGAATCAGATTGAATTGTCAAAGGCTGAGCCCTTTTAAAATGTGTTTTAAAAACACTTAAGAAGTGTTTAAAAAAGAAAGCATTTTAAAAAGTATTATACTTGTGGTTTAGTTTAAAATTAACCTGACCAGAAGGCTAAACCTTGTGAGATTAAGATCCTCATTACTTGCCTGCAGACCTGGAACTTTTCTCAGGGACCGAATATTTGTAACTGCCAGTTTTTCTTGCTACAGCTTTCTTTCTAACAGCCTTATAGCACCATCTAGTGTCTTACTCCTAGATAACCAAGGCAAAGGACTTCCGGGTCACATTTAAAAGAAAAATATATATATTTTAGAGAACCCTGTATATCTGATTTGTTTAAGTTTATAGCTCTCCAGGAACCTTCGATTTAACTTTTGTTCTCTCTTTTTTTTTTTTTTAAGTAGATGGTATAGTACTCACTATACCGGATTGTTCATGCTGAATCTGTAGTCAGTACCATAGTGAAAAGTTTCCACAAAACATTTTAGTATGACCTTTTCTTCTTAAATTGTGACCTATGGCACAAAAAATAAGAATCTGGGAGTTAGCAGATGGACACAGTATCGGAAAGATACGTCACCCTCTGCATATTCCCTGTGTTGGATCAAGCAGGGAGGATCTGCTGGAAAGGGCCTCGAAGACCAGGCAGTGAGGTCTCTGGGCCTAGTTGACCGTCCCTTCTAGAGGAATTCCTCGCACCCGCTGTCAATTGTCTTTGTGGCAAACTCTTCCGTAAAACTTATCCTCTGGACCCAGACCCCGTCCCTAGGTTGTACCACTCTGGATTATGTGACCCTCGTTAGGGTTCCCATCATCCTCCGTCCATACCACTCCCAAAGCCATCTACTATATTAAGTTGTCTGTTTGTCTGTATCCCCCGTTAGACTGTGAGCTTCATGAAGGCAGGGACCATTTATTTATTATTTTTTATGTTCCACAAACCTGGAATATAGTAGGTATTCCACGAAGAGTTGTTAAATTATTTCTATATTATTTATTTTAATCCTACCCAGAATGTATAATAAAAATAATTTGCTGTATCATTAGTGAACAAGACTGTCCACAGCCCAAAAGATAGATGGGATGCTTACTCTCAGTGCAAATATGTGAATAATTGTTTTAGTCTCCTCAAAAGCTGTAAGAGAGAAACAGGAAAATAGAAATGTTTTATTTTTTGAATAAACATTTGCAAATAAACATAACCCAAAAGTATCACTTATTTTTAATTGTTGGGTCACCCCAATGAGTTTTAAGTATTACTTTACCAGTTATATGAATGGTCTTTAGTTTGTTTTTTTTTAGTACTGTAGCATTAAAATAATTTTTATATAATAAGTTATAAGCTATGAGCACAGTCTACACAGAAAGGAAAGTTTGGGAACTTAATGATAAATTTTATGGTACGTGCTTAGAGGGAACTGTACCTTTATCAGACCAAGCCATTAGCCTCTGAGAACGTGAGTGGGTGGAGCAGAATGCGGGGAAGGAGTGCTTTTACTCAGATAAAATAACATGTTACATAGACACAGTTTGTTAAAGAGGCAAGATTATTGGCATAGAATATGAAGGAGTTCCCAGGGTTGATATTTAATCAGTTCAAGATCTAGTATTTTTTTTAAATTTAGAAACCGTTATTTTATTTGTTTTAAGATTTTATTTATTTATTCATGAGAGACACAGAGAGAGAGGCAGAGACACAGGCAGAGGGAGAAGCAGGCTCCATGCAGGGAGCCTAAGTGGGACTCGATCCTGGGACCCCAGGGTCACGGCCTGGGCCAAAGGCAGAGGCTCAACCACTGAGCCACCCGGGCGTCCCTAGAAATCTTTAGTTGCCTCTAGTCTATAACCCCATCTTAGACCAGGATATAATCATCAATAAAATCTGTTGAATATAAACTTTAGATCTTAGAATCTCAAGTAAATAAAAGCCTGACTTGAAAAATATACCCCTAACCACTGTAATTGGATCTTTGCTTTGACTTCATATAATATCTTCTCTCCAAAACTTCAAATATCCTAATAATATTAACAAAAATAAGATGAGTAGTAAAATCATGGGAAGATTAATACACAGGATACACACACATTTTCATTTTAAGTAGAATTGAAAGACCAAAATCATCAAATAGATGAAATGAGGCCAATGATGGACAAAGTTGATTAATTAATAGCCAACATTTATTGAGTGCCTACTCTGAACCAAGCATAATGCTTATGCGAGGGACACCGTTGCTCTGCATCTTTTCTATGCATGAGGAGATGGAAAATAAAAGAATGATCTATCTGGTTCATCACCACACCCCAGCATCCATAAGCACGTAACGTAGTAAGTGCTCGATAAATTTTTTATTGAATAAATTAAAAGCTTACCTGAGATTGAGTAACTTGAATGAAAAGCCACGAATGTTCCTCCAACTTTTTATTTTGAAAAAATTCAAACACACAGAGAGGTAAAAACATATGACAAAAAAACCCTTACGTATATCCTCACCAGATACACCAGTTGTTAAGATTTCCACATTTGTTTTATTTAGTATTTATTTTTACTGAAACATTGGAAACTAAGTTGTAGCTACGGTGATACTTTACCCCTAAATATTCAACATGGGTCTCCTAAGAATAAGTCCGTTATCCTATATGCAATATCATCACATCTAAAATTTTTATTTGATTAAATAATATTTACAATCCCTATTTAAATTTTTTTAGTGGCCTCAAAAATATATAGATTTTTTTTTTCAATTCAGGATCCAAACAAGTTTACAAGTGCATGTCATTTTTTATGTCCTCTTAATCTCTTTTAGCCAGAACCATTCCTCCGCCTTTGGTTTTGTTTTTCAGAATATTGGCTTGTTGGGTTTTTTTAAGGATTCAGGATGGTTTTCCCATAGAATGTTCTATAAATGTTCCCATAGAATGTCTATAAATGACATAGAATGTCTCATCATCTCTTCATGATTTGATTCAGTTAAAAATATTTAGCAATTAGACTACATAGGTAGTATAGTATAATATGCTTCTTCATATGAGGTTAGTGTTAACATTAAAAGGTACATAATGTCTGGTTGTTCTACTGTGTGACAGGGTTAGTCTGATTTTTTGGTTGAGGTGGTAATCATCAAATCTCTCCATCCTAAGGATATTTTCCCATAGAGTCACAATTTCTTTTTTTCAAGAAACTGTTTCTAGAGTATTCCCCTTTGACTAACCCTATGCTAAATGCTTTATAGCATCTTCTTGTTTCATCCTAGTAATTAGACTTTCAAAGAACACAGGAAATCAAGTTATTTTCCAGGTAATCTGGATATCAAGATGTAAAGCCACTATTTAAACCCAAATCTCCTTGACGTTAGAGACCAAGATTTTAATGACAGGAGTATAATGTCTTTTAGAATTTTGACACTTAGACCTTACATTGAAGCAACATGAAGGACTAAGGAACACCTCCCATACAGATATTTAGAAAATCAGAGGAAATCAGTATTAGGCATATACATGGATTTTCGGACTCACTAAAGAGAAGGGGAATGAGGAAGCCCTCTCCTTAGTAATTCCCCTTTTGTACTTCAGGACCCAGAAGGACTGCACCCTAGGAATGGCACTGACCTGGAAGTACATCAAATCCTCACATCAGGGCGCCTGGGTGGCTCAGTGGTTGAGCCTCTGCCTTCGACCCAGGGTGTGACCCTGGGGTCCTGGGATCGAGTCCCGCATCAGGCTCCCCGCATGGAACCTGCTTCTCCCTCTGCCTGTGTCTCTGACTCTCTCTGTGTTTCTCATGAATCAATCAATCAATCAATCCTCACAAGAAAATCATGTGCTTTCAAAACATCTCAGTCTCTGAAACTTAGCTAATAGGTAGCTACCAAGGTAAAATGGAATAGTTTTTTTTTTAAATCAATGAACACAAGAAAAGACAGTAACATAACAAGTAAATAGTAAGATGGGAAATTTCACCCCAAATATATCTTTAATTATAGTTAATATAAGTAAGTACACTAAATGCTCTAATGAAAAGATAAAGAGGCCAGATTGCATTTTTTTTCAAAAAAAACTATATGCATTTTACAAGAAAGACATCAAAGCATAAGGATACATAAAAGTTTAAAGTAAAACAATGGAAAATCATATACTGTGCAAACAGCAACAAGAGGAAAACTGATACACCCAATACCAGACAAATTAAACTTCAAGGGAAAATGCATTACTGGAGATTTTTTACAAAACTACACGAGGATAAAAAATAATTTGTCATGAAGATTAATTTTTTTCTATCATATGAATTTAATAACACAGGGTACCTGCGTGGTTCTGATGATGAATTTAATAATACGGCATAAATATGTGGTAATAAAAATTGATTTAACTACAAGAAGAAAGGGCCCCCGGGGGGGGCTCCATCGGTTAAGTGTCAGCCTTCGGCTCAGGTCATGGTCCTGGGGTCCTGGGATCGAGCCCAACGTCGGGCCTCCCACTCGGTGGGGAACCTGCTTCTCCCTCTGCCTCTGCCCCTCACCCCTGCTTGTGCTCATTCTCTCTCTGTCAAATAAATAAGTAAATAATCTTAAATATATATGTATATATAAGAAGTTGGCGCATCCATAATTATAGTGGGAGATTTTATCACACTCTATCAGCGACTGATAGAAAAACAAATAAACAAAAAAAGTAACGATATGCAAGAGCAATGCTACTGCCTCAAATAAGTAGAAAAACCATAATAAAACAGAAAACATCTCCTTAAAGGCATTGGAGAGTGGCCTCAGTGGCCGGGCCAGAGACCAAGGTCGGGGGGCAGGAGGGACCTGTAAGCGAAGCTGATACTCCGCAGTGTTCTTTCCCATGGAAGCACTGGGCCATTTCAGACGAGATGCACAAAAATAAATAAATAAGCCTGAACATCTGGACTTTGTCAAGACCGAGCCTTGGAGGGGGAGCAGGGAACCCCCAGGGGACTCGGGGCCCGGGTGCACTAGAGACACAAAGCGAGGCGTGAGGCTCCCCGAGGGCCGGGAGCTCGCCGTCTGCCCCGGCCGCTCTCCTCCCAGCTCTGCCCGGGTCTGAGGCTCTGCTGACCACGGCAGAGAGAGCTCGGGGGGGCCCAGGGCACTTTCCCCAGGCTCACTCTGTGAGGGGACAGTGGCCCGAGCTGAGGACCCCCCAGAGGCAGCGGCCCAGGGGAGCAGGCCAGGTGCTCAACCTGCAGGCCGGAGGTCGCGGACTAAGGGCCCAGGCCTCAATCCCACCACGGCCCCAGGCGGCCTCCCACGCACAGCGGCCACCCGGCCGGGGACAGGCCTGCATCGTCTGCCTGCAGCAAAGGGGGGTTGGCAGGATCCTGAACGACGGGGCTAAGCGACAACGTCGGAGAAAGACCCGGGCCCCAAGGGCTGGAGCGTGAGGTTAGGACCGCCCAGCAGCCCAGCTGATGTGGCCCCACAGATGCAGGCCAAGGACGCAAATAGGTACCACTGGGGAGTTTTACCAGAAAATGAGAGAATTTAAAAAAAGAGAAAGACTAAATGGAGAATCTAGAACCGAAACATTCAATAGCAGAAGTGGAAACTCAGCTCATGGGCGTAATTTCAGCCCGGAGCGCCGCATGGCTTGCGAACCAGGGAACGCAGCAGTAGAGAAACGTGTGAGCTAAAGCGCAGGGAGAGAAAAGGATGTAAAAGGAAAGAAGGAGTTAGCAACTCTGGGTCGGAACGCAGAGGTTTACTAGGACCGCAAGGGGGGATCCCGAAGGGGTGGGGGCCGAGGGGAGCCCTCAGGTCCCTTCAGCTCGGCGGGGCCCCGGAGAGGTCTGAAGACGTTGTCACACCCCGAGATGGGGATGAGGCGAGGGGACCCCCAAGACCCCGCGGGACAGACGGCGACACCAGGAGCAAACCGAGTCGCAGGGTCCCCACGGCCACGGCCCTTTGTCCAGCGTGGTGAGGTCTGCAGTGGCCCAGGGCCCCCATCCCCGAGCCCTGATCGTTCCAGGAGGTCAGACTGGGGCGACCACAGGGACAAGGGATGCCGGGGGAGAGGCCGTGGGTGTGGGAGTGGGAGGCAGGGTGCAGGCCGCAGCCTCTGCCCCGACGCGGTTACTCAAGCTTCCCGCTCCTCCTGATGCCAGCAGCAGAGGGAGAGGAGCTGCAAACAGAGTGGCCCGAAGTAGCGAATAAAAACGCACGACGCTCCGCTAGATTTCAAGTGCAGAAAAA